TGTTCGCGTAGGCAGGCTAGCATTTAACTTGCTACATATGTACGTAAGAGATGTTGTTTCTTTCACGATGTATACCACGTTATATACAATATCAAATAAAGAAATGATGCTTACCTATGAGGGGAAACCCCCAAAAAAAAAAAAAAAAAAATGAAAGTTATATAAATGTCTTGCATTTAATGCCCATTTGCAATATATATATATATATATTAACAATTTAAAACTTTTTAAAATTTTTTTTTTTTTGGAAAAAACAATGTACAATATAAAAGTATTTTATACTTTAATAGAAAAGTTTTATTACTGTATTAAAAAAATCAATACATTTTTTGTTAAAAAAAATAACTTGAAAATAGAAATAGTATTTTGTTAACATAAAAATCAATTAATTAATTAATTAACATATAAACAAATGTTAATTATATTTTATGATAATAAATATCGTAAAATGCATGATATACTGTATAGCAAAAAAAAACCAAAGTATTATAAAAAAAAGTCACTTTCTATACAAGTTATATAAATGGAAATGCTTAATAAATGCTATTGATTCAGTATAGATTTGCATAAATTTGAAAAAATATAAAAACACAACAGGACGAATTTATCATAAAGCAATCGAACATTTGTAATAATTTATTTACGCAAAAAACACAGCGGGCAATATTGCATCATCAATTTTATTTTTAAATGTATTTTAGTGTATAATAATTATTTATATGAAATTCAGAGAATAGACAAGCTTAGAATTTTGTTTTTGGAAACTATATAACGGCGGATATTTATAAGTTTGTAAGGGAATTAATTATGAAACATGTATATCACAACCTATCGCAAACGCGAAGAAGAATGAGTATGCAAAAAAATGTACAAAAAGAGAAAGAGGTTTTTTTTTAAGTCGGGGTGTTTTTTAAAAAAGGGGCGATTGGAGAAAGAGAAAAAGAAAAAAAAAAAAAGCGAAGACACAAATAACATCTCCACAGCCCTTGCGTTATAGAGGGTTAGAAATGTTATTACTTAGACGAAACATTTTTTTTTTTTTCTTTAAAAAAAAAAAAAAAGAAAATTTCAAATCATATCTCTTATGCTATAAGCGTTATTGCATGCCTAGTATGAAAAAAATATCATAAGCTGGAAACGTAAAGAAAAAACCGATTCAAAAAAGATTTTTTGGTGTTTTGGTGTTGATCGTATAAATGAAACGAAATTCATAATATATAACCGTTAAGACAAATTATTTCACATCACAAAAATCGCAAAAAAAAAAAAAAAAAAAACGAGAAAAAACAAGAGGCATACACATATGGTACAGAAATAAGTATATATATATATATATATATTCAAAGTCCAATCTCGGCAGGTTAAATTGCATCTGTACAATGGGATAAGGGCTACGCGTGCTGGATCCCAAAAAAAGGGGAGAAAAATAAAATTAGATAAATATATGAAAGAAAGATCTAAAGGTTAAGATGGCGTAGTTGGCCATCCTCCCCAGACAAACTTAAACGGGCGTACCTAAAGAATATATATATATATATATTGAGGTTCGTGTGAAAGGATGCCTTCGATTCACGTATACCCGTAATCATCGGTTATCCTGCCACGGTGCTACTTCCGTTGGTTACAACATTCTGTTGAGCTGGAGAGTGCTGGGATGGCCAAATATTTATGTTGTGAGGTAGATCAGGACGAGATCGGGTCTTCATCAATTCACACAAGTCATCATAGACACGATCTGTATCTTCCTCATTGTTCGGATAGCCAGATCTCCCGTTATTATTACTGTTGTTGTGTTGATATGCTCGGCTGTTACGATCTGAGGATGAAGATGGAGGTGAGGGGCTGGAATGCGAATTTGCATTTCGATAATCGGGTCTGAAGCAGGGGTCAACCGATGAATCGGTGTTCGGGCCGGGAGGCAAAACCAAACCGGAGCCCCTTTGCGAATACTCGGACCCCGGACGATTTAAAGCCGATGTGGATGAGGAAGAGGAACCTGCAGAGAAAAATGAACCAGGCCGTTCGTCGTTCACACCAAAACCACCCTTACGACCAGAATCTTTATTATTATGCCTTGACCAGGGCTCATCACCCAGGAGCTGCGAATCATCATCATCCCGGGTAGAATTTCCGTAATGCGAATAATTTGAATTGGATGAGCCAGCACCATTTGAATTATTTCCACCAAAGACCTGGCGCCCTTCTTCATCGCTAACATCTTCCCCCTTCAACTTTGCATTCTCGGCTTCTAATCTACGAATCGTTTGTTGCATCATGCTTTTTTCCTTAAGCAAATCGTCCACCTGTTTCTTGAGAGCATCCAAGTCTTTTGCTTTTGCTTCCAAATCTTTGATGTACCTGTCCTTGCGTTGGCGAAAAGCTCTCTGGGCAGCTCTGTTCTGGGCAGCACGCTTGGAGTTTGTCAAAGGTCGACTGGTGTTCCTTCCCATATTATCTACATTGGCAAGTAACGG